TGTTTCCATAGCAACAACAACTTCCTCGCCTTCAAAAGAATATATTATATCCTTTTTAGTTTCACAGAACACAAATTGGGTTATTTACATAATATGTTTACATGATTTTGTTGTGCAATAAAACAACCCGATGGACACACGATAAAGGAAATGTTTGAACGAATTTTAACATTTCCTTTATCGTTTGTCCATCAGGTGTCAATTTCGGGACAGTGTGACGCAGACTTTACTAAACAACCCTAACTTTTCAGAACATATTTGAAATATTTTGGGAAAAAAGAGAATGACTGTCCGAATCTTCTTGCCAAAAATGTATGCTATAATATTCTATGTACTCAAGTGCATTGTTTTGTCGTATAAGTGTGTTTTTTGCTGCTAACATTACACAACATTTTATATTGGGTCAACACATGTCTACAGAAAAATGTTAACTGTTTTTCATTGTACTACCTTTGATTCATCCTTTTGAATTATTATTTTTCTCTTCCTCAGCCCCCCCCACGTTCACAGATACACCACCTCAGTATGTAGAGGCCAAGGAGGGGGGGAGCATCACTTTGACCTGCACGGCCTTTGGCAACCCAAAACCCTCAGTGGGCTGGCTGCGAGAGGGCAGCCTCGTGGTCAGCAGTGCCAAGTACAAGGTAAATACTGTCTCTATGTATCCTCAGAATAATGATACAGTTATTTACCAAAGCTTGTTTTTCAGACTGACAATATTGCTGTGTAAATATCATTCATTTTATTTAACTGCATGAGTAAGGCAGGTGAAATAGACAAATGGTGGACCATACTTCACGCAAAGTTGAAACACTATACAGAATCTACAGTATATCATTACATTAGCTTTTGACTTCTGGTTATTAAATGTAACTTTTAAAAGGTGCTGGGCAACGATTACAATTTGTAATAAGGATTAATCGCATGATTTTTCTGCGATTAATCACGATTGTGAACCTCAACTTCAACCTTAATTAATGTAGTCAAATCAAATATAAAACAAAAGCCATTTGCCACTTATGTTCATGCCCTAAATGCTCTCATTGGTTGAGATGCCTGATGACGCCCATCCTAAACCAATACTGATCATCCAACCCCTCCTGTGACCTGTCATGTCAGTATGTGTATTCAGAGCCAGTGAGCAACGCACTTAGAACAATAATATTAATGAAGAAAAACTGTTAATTTGTGATAAAATAATTGTCGGCGTAAATTAATGAATGCGTTAATGAAAAATTATTTACATGATCACACATTGTGTTAATTTGTGAAGATTATACTTCTGAACAACGTGTTGGTAACATAAATGTGTGTTGTCAAGTATATTTTTTGCAAATTTTCCAAAATCCAATGGAAAAACCCATTGCCCTGTCTTCTAGAAAACTTTTCTGGGCTTTCTTTCAGACCCCTTTAATTATTATTATAAATTATTGATAAAGTCAGTTTATTTAAATAGCCTGATACCAAAAATATGTACAGCATTCAACACCCTCTGTCTTTAGACCTTCAATTCATATTACGTAAAACTCTTTAGCAGGAAGGAGATGGAAGAAACCTTGTGAAGAAATTAAGGTGGGATCTCAAAATCAGAAAGTAATGACAATATGTGAAATCAGCATGACAATATAGATTTTAATCATAAATTACACATCTGGAGCTGGGGAATTGCTGCCAGACTGATAGGACCTAAGCCTCACAACTACCTATCCACCACTGAGACCTGGAAGACGACAGTTCTCAAAAAACACACTGGAGACAAAATCAAGCATTCCATTCACAGAGGGGAGAGAGACAAGGACATCATGCACACAAAGGAGAGAGAGACAAGAGGTGAGCTGCTGAATCTCCTGGAGAATTTGTGAATCTATTAGAGAGTATGATCCTTGTGGGATCAGCTGTAAGTGGTAAGTGTAGCAGCTCAGTGAACACATTGTCATTGCAGCTGGGATCCTTGTCTCTGTCATTTTTTACACTCATCATGGCAGAGAAGGGTTTTAGATTTTATGTTTAGTGAGAAGAAATATGCCATTTTTCTTTAAAGTGTACGCTGTACAGTTTTGAGTCCTGGGTCAGTGATTGGAAATAACTTCCCCTTATTATGTCGATTATACCTACATTCTCATATATGCATTGTTAAACAGCAAGCCAACAAATTACCACACAATATAAATCATTTTCCACACAATTAGTTTTTATTTTATTTGGGAGACAGAATATGATCTATGAATGTCATCATCAGTGTCGGGCAAGTTACTTCCAAAATGTAGTACATTACATATTACTTATTACTGTATTTTTCAAGTAATAAGTTACATTGCAATATTACTGTCTATATAATGAGTTAGACTACTTTTATATTACTTTTGAGTTACTTTCACCAAAATAACTGCAAAATAATGACTAGGTATTTTAAATGCTAAAATGTAGTTTAGTGCAGCAACTGTGTAGGCCCTTAAAGTCCTTATCTTACATTAAAAACTGTTTTTGGCAGTTGATTTCTGGGGGGTGTATGCAACAGATAGTCAATGTATGTTTCTTTATTTCATACTGAATAATATGTAAAAAAAGGAAAAATATTAGGTCCAATAAAAAAAACTTTGCTTCTGGAAGCAGGCCATTTCGTGACGTCACGTGTGGTTCCCGGCTGCCGCTGTCTGGATCCCTGCTGCCGTCCGGATCGACAGCCAATGCGCGCAGCCAGCGAGAGTTCACAACGAAAAATGGCGTCAAATATTGTTGATGTTTACGCATCAGAAAAAGCTAATAGCGCGGGTATTTGGCACAATTTGACAGAACAATTATTTGGTGTGGACGATGATAAACACTGATACACAAAGTTGACATGCGGCTATACCAGCAATGCTACACTGTGTGATGCTGGGACGGGCTGAACTCACCAGGATTCGCGGAACCACACGTGACGTCNGAAGGAAGGTTTGTATTACCCAAATCTAAATCAAATATGGGACAGAAAACAGTCATGTACAGAGCCATGATCAGCTGGAACTCTTTACCGGTTCACATCATTCAGGAACATTCTCAAGTACATTTCAAAAGGTTGCTAAAAAATTATTTAAGTATTATAAAGTAAATTTGAACTGTGCCTGTGGCTATGTATGCATATATTATGATGTAAACTTATTTGTATTTACTTTTGTTTGGCCTTAGGATGGCGATAATTGGATGACCATTTTAGTTTTCACTTCATTTCACTGTAAATTGCATGCAATGATGAGCTGTTTTGTTTTGTTTTAATTTTGTTGTATGTTTATGTATGTTTTGAGTGTGTGAGGATCCCAGGAAGAATAGCCAATGCTCATGCTAGTGCTAATGGGGATCCTAATAAAGACAAAAAAAAAGAAAAAAGAAATGAGTGACATCTGCTGTATTGTGTTTGTAAGTTTCATATTTCTTGACATAATACTTTATTTCTCGGCCTGTCCCCTCTTACGCTACTACAACGGTTATTTAAGTGATACTTCCTGAAACACTGTTGACATCACTTGTCACTCCAAATCCCTCCGGTGAAGTTCATTGATTGGATTTGCGCATTTCCAAGTGCTCAAAGAGCTTTCCGCTCACTAAGGAAGTTGTTCATAAGTTGTAGACTGCATCTTGTATAATGTTTAAAAGCAAAATCAGTGACAGTTACAAACAAATCAGGCATTATATTTTTTTTTATCACCAAAAAAAAAATGCAGTATCCACATTACATCATCACAAATAATGTTCAAATTGATACAAAACTAAATTCTAAATGAATTTCTAAAACAAAAATATTCCATGCCCAACATAATTTTTCACACCAAACACAAACTTGTGCTACAGTTTTCCTGCTGGGGTTTATTTTAAGTCCAGTTGAAGGAAAACATTTTACAATAAATATATCATAAACACTGCAAGTGTGGAAGGAAAACATATTGAAATCTCTGTTAAAATCAACAATAACAACGTAACACTTAAAAGTAACCAAACGGCAATGTATACGCATACTTTCCAGGTATTTTGTTTATATGAAAAAAGTGGTGGTCAAAGTACTGTGCCAGTATGTTTCAGAAGAGATTAAGATCAATAACATATTTTAGACTGCTTTTGTTTGAGGTTTACATTTTGATTGTGCAGTATTGTTATCCATGCTACATTTCTACCTGAGTCCACTGGCCCCATCATATACTTCAAGAGAAAGAAACCCAACTCTAGATAATCTAAGCTACCAGCATCAAATCCTCTGTGTTATAATACAGTCGTTTTCCACAGTGTTGGCAAAATCCTTGTCATACAATGTTCTGTGTAAAGTTTCCCAGTGCTTTGTTTTCCCGGACAGTTTGTGGCAAGAAAAAGCACTGACATGATACTGAGAACGTCAAAATGTGCAGAGAGTTGAAACACGGAGTATATGTACATCCTCTGGTATTGCGTAATCCCTGCTGCTCACTATACGGTGTGCTGCAATACTGCATTTAACACTAGTGTCTGTTGCCCTCTGGTGGTCTGACCACATCGATTGGCACAACATTTGAAGGAAACAAACTATTTTAACTGAATATAAAGTGATGCATTTGTTAAAGGAGACGTGTCATGGCCATTTGTACTGATCATAATTCCATTGTTGAGGTCTACTAGAATAGATTTATATTGTGCAATTTTCCAAAATCACTTTGGTTTCTCATACAGCATCTCTGTAAACTACGTGTATTCACTGAATTTCACTCTCTGCCTTTAACGGCTCGTTGTAGCTCCAGTAGCTCCAGCCCCCATCCTCCC